TCAATCATGGTCATCATGGTCAATCATAGTTTTTAACTAAACTAATTTCTTTACGAACAATTTTCTTTTTATACCTGTCACGTATTTTTCCACTTTTCTTGAGCTTCCACTTATTAACTGCAGATAGTTTTTGTTTTTCATTTTTCTATGTCATTTACCATGCTCACGTGGTGTGACTTTAGTGATCGTGTCGATAATAAACCAATATGGCTTACTACTATATCGAAATCAAATTCGATATTCGATTATCGAGTCGAAATAGATAGTTCAGACAACGCTTACCAGATGGCATCTCGATCCTTCTTCCTTACACCAGATCCAGAGTGCATCTCGGTCTTTCTTTCTTATACACCATAGTGTACGTCTCTGACCGGGTTCTCTTGAAACATCTTTCCCATTCAAAATGGCGGTAAGTCAGAATCTCTATATAAAAATTGGTTAAAAATATCTTTAAAAATCACCAACATCCTTTCAATTTTTTACTCGTTTTATTTCTAATAACAAAAATATTACTTTCATTGAATAATAAATAATATTCTTTAATTATTAAATCAAGATTTTGATCATATTTATATATAACAGACTGTTGACTTCACATGCTTGTTTTCTATTAGCTTGCATTAAAATTACAACCTTTAAAAAAATAATTATTTCAATGTAATATCTTATTTTATAATATAATAAAAAGAATAAATTTATATTATTTATGCAATAATAACCAAAGTATCATAATAACTTTTACTTTATTATCATTGAACAAGGTAACCTAAAAAAGATGTAGTTCACAAGTGTTAATAAAATTGTATTCCTGGATGTGCAGAAAACTACAGAAAAGAAGGACGAAAGTATAAAGAAAACTAAAAAGGAGCCCAAGGATGCATCCAAAAATGTTATGCGTGAGGTTAGGATCCGTAAATTATGTTTGAACATTTGTGTGGGTGAATCTGGTGACAGGTTAACAAGAGCGGCTAAGGTATGTTTATTGTAAAAATGCAAGTATTGTATAAACAATTATGTAATAAAAGTTATGTAATAATTGTAATAAAAAAAAAAAATAAACGTTTGTTATATCAAATTTGTATGTTTTAGGTATTGGAACAGTTGACCGGTCAACAACCAGTTTTCTCCAAAGCGAGGTACACCGTACGTTCCTTTGGAATTCGTCGTAATGAAAAAATTGCAGTACACTGTACTGTACGAGGAGTGAAAGCAGAAGAAATCCTTGAACGAGGATTAAAAGTTAGTTTATACGAGATTTAACATTTTTTCATTGTATTATTTCTTTATTGTTATTAATTTTTGCATTGTGTTGTTTTAGGTACGTGAATATGAATTGAGAAGAGAAAACTTCTCTGGTACTGGAAACTTTGGATTTGGTATCCAAGAACACATTGATTTAGGTATTAAATACGATCCAAGCATTGGTATCTATGGCCTTGACTTTTATGTCGTACTTGGACGTCCAGGTTAGTTATCATTGAATGTATTTATCATTTTATATTAATTTGCACATTATCTGGTATCATAGATATCTTCGTTTTGTTTGACGTTGATGTCTATCGTTGTAAAAACATGTGCTAAATAAAAGTGTTTCATATTTGCAACTCATGCCCACTTCTTTTACTGGGTGTGTTACTTAATTGATACTACAATTTATTTATATTATTTATTTATATATTTTGTATACATTTTAAAAAGAATTGTTTAATACAATTGCATTTTTAAATTTATAGGTTTTAATGTAGCCCACAGACGAAGGAAAACTGGAAAAGTTGGTTTCCCGCATAGATTAACTAAAGAAGACGCAATGAAATGGTTCCAACAGAAGTATGATGGTATCATAGTTGCTGGGAAAAAGTAATGTACAAATGTTGTATTTTACGATCGTCTTATAAAAAATATTTAAAAATAACATATCGGGGTTATTAAGTTTTTAACCGTCTTTATGACATTCCTTTTTGTTCAGTTAAATAACCAAACTGAAAGTTTAACTCTCTGCACTGTAACAAAGAATGAAATTTGTTATTTGGAATATTATTAGAAACACTTTTTCTATTCATTACACATTTTACAAGCAAATCATAAATATGAATTTTATTTGCAATTCCATGCATTAAATTAAAGTGCAAGGAGTTTAACAATGGAGTAGTATGTACAGTGGGTGATCGATTAACTACCATAATCAATTGAAAGATTTTACTACATGAATTGTTCATTGATCAATCATCATGTAGTTGTATAAACTTTATACACGTTGCAGTTTCTTATATTTGTTATAAGATATCGTTATCTGAACATTTATTTGTCCAATTAGTTAAAAACCCAAATTATAGGTTAACTGATTATCCACTGTAATTAGATATTTGTTTAAATTTGATAATTATATATAGTGTATCTTTATTATAGAATTATTTACATACTCTACATTCAATTCGACACATTAATATCAGAGCCCTGAACAAATATCAATGATTATTTAATAATATCAAGTAAATAAATTCATACATAACGCAGATCAAATTTATTTCATTTATTTATATTAATTTATCTATGTAGATATGGTTTACTTTCTCATTTTGTATTTACTATTTATAATATCTATAAAAAAAAAAAAACATGATTATTTCAGATTCATAATTAGTTAGGTTAGTTTATATTATGTGCATGTTGAAGTAAATAAAATTACAGAACGTATAATAATAATTATTTAGGCATTTCGTTTAAAGGAATATAAAATCAGTGTATAACTTCGAATAAAGTATTATATTAGTTTTACTCTTTAATTTTCACATCATTGGCACCATAGGAACATGGAATTTATGTTTAACACATTAAACGTCAATACAATCCAGTTTCCACTGAACCTAACCTTTAAACTTTTCATTAAGATTTGACGCTTAATGTGTTAAATTTCAAGTATATGATGAAATTAAAATATCGGAATGATAGGGGAATTAGTTTTTAGTTCTAATATAGATTTAATATTAATAACTAACCTTATTTTAGTTATCCTTTGTAAGATATAATTTGAGTTTAAGCGTTTACAAACAAGACAAATTCTAAAGTTATCAAATTTAAGACTATTATTAGATATAGGCTTTGGTTTGGATACAAATTATTGCACGAGGTGAGTATAATCCTCTTTTTTTTTTCTTTTTTATATTTTATTTTTATTTTATATACGTTTACTACTACCATGCTGCAGATAAAATTGATATTAACCCCCACGCAGTCTCAGATTAACTTGGTTTATCTCATTTAATTATCATCATAAATATATGATGTTAAGTTTTCAATTAAAATCTATGATATTTCGCAGATAATCCTAAGATTTGTAGCGGAATGTGTTCAAGAATGAATAATTCCATCATGGAATAATACTTCCAACTCGACAATGTTACTCTTGTAATATTTAGAAATCATTTCAAATGTATAATTATCAATATCACATTGGAATACTGTTTAATCGATGAAAGTATTTTTGTTTTCATTTAAATTATTGGCAGTTAAAATAATAATAGTCATCGGTGGTGATGGTGATGGTGGTGGTGGTGCGAAAGAAGAATTTTTTCTATCGAAGGAAGTACTATTATTAACGTGTACAATAAATATGTTTTTATAATTAAATGTGCTTATTTATATATATATATATATTTTTTTCTCTTATAATATTATTTCTCGCTTTTAATTAACACTTTCATCGTGAATTTGATCTAATAATTTATAATAAGCAGATTTAATAAAAGGCAAGATTTCAAAGCAGATTTATAATTATTATATATAATAAGCGGATTTAAAAAGGCAATCTTCTCAGTCTCCATATTATATTACTCTTTTTTTCATAGAAATACACAACGTACCACCAAAAATAAAAAACTATTATAAACAAACAATAATATTAAATCTCTAATGTATTTTAAAGATTACTTTTTTTTTTAAAATGACAAATTTTCACATTGCTTATATTTTTATTATCCAATCTCTAATTTAATAATTAATTTTATTATCCAATCTCTAATTTGATTAATTTTATTTATAATAGTTAACTAATCAATTTTTCCTAATACGACATAATGTAAAATATATTCTACCCAGTTGAACCAAAAACAATGTCTATTTAGTTGTCTTTCATATTTTAATTTTTCTTCTTCTTTTTTTTTTTATGCATATACAACGTGAATATGTATTTCAAAAATTAATATGAAAAATAATAGATTATTATTATTATTATAAATATAGGCCTTAGAGTTCAGTTTATTATATACTAACAATTATAAATAATAATTTAAATATTATTAATTATAGAACATAGAGATGATATTGTTTATATATTAAATTATTTCTCATTCATTTTTATGAAATACATATCCATTTATAGAAATCAATATATACATATATATATTTTATTTTCAAGGTTTCTGAAATTTTTCTTATTTTCATACATGGGAAAACATTGACAACTGTTTGGTTGGAAAAATTTCAGACACCTTGTATATTTATTTATATATATATATATATATATATATTGTATAACCATCATATATAATTTAAAGATGATTTAAATTAATAACATACGTACGTACACATATACATCTACAATTTTAAATTGTATTTCTCATTGCATAGCAAAAAGTTAAAATAGTAGATTGTTAATATTAAAAATTGATTATTCAAAATTATTCAAAATTATCTCTGCTAACCGGCAGCAGTATATATACGAAGATAAAGATTAATAATAAATAATACGATGGGACATACAGTGTTCAATTTTATTATTTTTTTTTTTTTTGGTAAAAACAACAAATTCATCATTGGAAATAAAAAGTTAGAGGGATGATATTTAATTGATTTTTTTTTTTTTTTAATCTTCTGTATGAACTTTCTTTAAGGTGTAAATAGAAAGTAATGTTTTATCTATAAACATTTATTTTTCAAGAGAATTATACATAACATATATATATATATATGTACATATATAATTCTCTATAAGAATATTTGTGTATATAAATTTATAAATATTATTATTATATCAAGAAAAGTAATAAATATATGGATAAACATGTTACACCATATTGTTTTAACAAATAGAGATACAACATCACTTTCTATATAAACTTCTTTCTTTGTATATATATGTATATATAATTAGTTAATTAATTAATTAATTAATTAATATTTTCTTGCAGAACCATAAATCTTATCAATGTTGATTTTCTCAGCTTCGGTAAAACCCAAGATACTTTCAATGGCGTTCAGATGTCCAAGATGATTCTCTTTATCAGTCAGGAAATAATAAAATGCTGATTTTAGGAACTGCAAGGTGAATACTAGATCCAATTCGTCCTTCTTGTATTTTGCTTCCACGATACTTCGATACATTGCCTAATATTTATATAAAAAAAAAAAACAAAAACAAATACAAAATTACAGCGTTATTATAATTACATTATTATTATTATTATTATTATAATAATATATATATAATATTATATTTATATATACACTGTGCGCATGTATTATTAAACAATGAATGAATATATAATATATATATATATTATTGTTTCTTCATTAGATTATGAAGAAAACAATTAATTTGGCAGGCATATATGAGCCGCTTATTTTGAAAATGGCGCCTAACTCCACTTTCCAAAAAAGTCAAGTTAGCTACCGTAATTATTACATTTTTACATGTTCTTTTCATTCTGAAGCAATTTGTTACAAATATATTTAATATCATGAAGATATTGTAACAAGAAAATTTGCTGATCAACAGAATGATGTAAAAGTTTATTTTGAAAATGACGCCTAACTCCATTTGTCAATTATTATTTTCTACTTGCAGCTGATAATTGTACAACTTCATGTTAAGAATTCTGATGAAGAATCAATCAACTGATTAAATATATGTTGAATGCGTTTTGTCAGAAATGAACTGTATCAAATTTTCTATAAGATATCAATGAATGAGAATAAAAATTTGAAAGTCCTGAATTTATTACCACATTGAGGGTAGACCAAGAAAGTTTGAAAATATTGTATTGACACCATTATACAAAAATATCAGACAAATGACAACAGCAAAATTCAAGAACATAATTGACCTATTACGATATATACTACCGGAACATCATGATTTTTTCAAATCCCTTTCATACACACAAAAGATGTAGATGAGTAGTCAATTGTTTTGTAGGTTATGTTTGTAATTTTGTACGTTATGTAGTTAAAAAATGTTTTCAATCGCATAAATTATGTCGAATGGAGTTAGAGTCCCTTCGAAATTTTATAACAAATCAAATTGTTAATGTGGAAAGTGACCTAACTCCATTCATGATCAGAAAACGCATATTATTTACTTAATAATTGCCATTACTTTTAATGGGAAATATAAATTGAACATTTTTAGATGCACTTAAGCAGTATAACTCGTTTGTATGTATATTTTTAATTGCATTGAAAAGCAAACCCTTCAAATATTTAGAATCGAACATAAATGGAGTTAGAGTTAGGCCACTTTCAAACTAAGCGGCTCATATATTCTATAAACAAATATAGAAAATATTGATAAAGCGTGCATTGCTCAAAGCGCACGTGCAAACTTACATCGAATGAATTATAAGAGGCTGTTTCTTCCAAGTGCACTGTAGTACGGCCCGATTTGAGAAATGGTATCAAAAAAAAAACAATTCTATCTACACTTGTGCTTGACAATCAACATGCAGATTTTTCCAAAAAAAAACAAAAAAAAAAATAGAAAGAGCAACAAGCCATCCCAGAAAAGAGGGAATAATCATTTGTAAATATATTTTTTGGTTTTGTTTTTGTTTTATACAAAAATTATTGATCTTGATGAAGTTCCATCATTATTTATTTGAACAAAATTTAATTTGCTTTAAAGATCGTCAATGTTATATATATATATATATATATATATATATATATATATATATGTGAAAAGAAGAAGGTAAAGAAAAATATTTCTACGACGATAAATGGATGCGATTTTTCTATCATGGAGATAATTAATAATCAAAATCATGCTTATTGTATTAAAAATATTAACAAATTAAACAAAACTACATTATGAAAGAGAATATAAATGAATATAATAGAATCATCATATTAATAAAAAAAAACAATGAACAATCCATTCCATTAAAGGATTTCAAATATAATTCTAATTAATTTTATATAAACATAAAATATACGCAAAAGGATTTATATATTATATTTAAAAAAAAGAAATGAAATTTTTCTTTTGTTTTCTCTGGTAATGGATAATTGAACGATCAAGCAAAATAAAATAACGATGGGGGGAGTAGTAAAAGTTGGTGTGCACCATTTTGTATGCGAATTGACGCAGCAAAAAAAACTCAATTTGTAACAACGTAGAGAGAATATAATAATAATGAGAAAGAATGTAAGGATTTCTTCTGGTGTGTTGTCAGTTCGAATAAAAATACAGACCTTACGTGTGCCAAGGACCCAGAGAGAAACAGCCTCCTGAGCGCTTAATAAATTTTGGCTACGATCTGCTGAAATGTGAGGTTCAGGCGAGTTGCTTGTATCCTGGAGTGTGAGCGGCGACCAAAAAAAGTGACACATCCGTTAGTACAAAAAGATAGTGAATTATGAATAATAAAATACTCTTGAGAAGAAAGAGAGAAAGAGAGAGAAAGAACGAGAAGAAAGATGCATGCTTTTGGAACAATGCAAAAGATGTCGAAGACTAGCCTTCTAATGTGAGTGAAAAAATTCAATTAGGTGAAAACAAAAGCGTCCGTTATAATATTATGATACTAAACTAAAATTAGTGAATACGATTTAATATTATTCTCCATCTAAATTCATACATTTTTGATTAAATCAACAGGGTATGAGAGGATGGGGTGTATTAACTCCTTGCACTCGAATGGCGCTGATACGGCGCCTGGTGGCTGATTTCAAGTCTTTTGTTAGACTATCTGCTTCTTTATGATGTGTGATCAAATATTTCTTTTAAGATATACTTAAAGGGTTGAAAAGGGATTATAAGGTTTGCTCTGATCGTAATACACCTAAAGGTAAGCCGGAAGTAACATATTATTGTGCATATGTGTCCTGATAAACCTAGGATGCATCTTTTGGGTATTGTTTTACGAAATATTATACAAAAATTAATTATAGAGTATAATAATTCTCATATTTTGTTGTTTTTTATATAAAAATAAATAAATTGGTGAAATTTGATTGTTTGTTTATAAATGATTTTAAAGTACACGTCAAATGTTTCCCTAATATGGCCGAAATCATTTCGAGTTGCTGGTTAGTGCAACCGAAAAAGGCCTCGAGTGCAAAGGGTTAAAATATTTCTTATGTTAAATTAACGGAATGAATGAAATGAATTTTATTGGCGTATGTATTTCAGAGGAGATTTGAAGAAATCTACGCTACATCTATAATCATAATAATAATAATCAACCATGTGTTGTTTAAGTTTCAAAACTCATTGGAAAAAATCTTGTCGAGAAAACTCATACAACTTAAACTTCAAAACAATTATAAAATCTTAAAACATTCTTGTTGCTTTCATCTTTTATAAACATTATCACAATTAAACAAAACAATCAACACTTTATATATATATATCATACTGAAAACAACTCGAATGCGTGTCAAATTGTAAAAAATTGATACAATTTTTTTTATTGACACTCTTTTTTTTAATAATAATTAACAACAACAAATATATATATATGTAATATGTATAAATTACCTTAATTTTTTCTAATTCCGCTTTAGTAACTTTTAATTCTTGTTGCAGATCGGTTGCGGTTGCGTTAACTTTCGAAGATGATTTTTGCTGCTGCTGCTGCTGCTGTTGCGTGGTTTCAGGTATCTAAATAAAAAAAATTGAACATATTTATTTATAAATTAAATTAGAAAAGAAAAGAAAAAAAAAAGATAAATAAAAACAATAATAATAATCACCTGATCATTTGTTTTGTCAGTGCATGCAGTAGTAGCAGCAGCTGCTGTTTCCTCTTGTTCGTTCACATTAACTTTATTCAGGTACGTTTGTTTATCCTTCTCTTCATGCTCTTTAATTAAAGCTTTATACTTATCAAGTTCACTTTTCACAGCCTCCAATTCAACTTCCAATTCGCGAGTACGAGCTTCCGCAGCATCGACGGACGGCCTTACCTCGCAATAGCGAGTATTAACTTCAGATAATTGATTCAACAAACTTTCTACCTGTTGTATCATCAAATCAAATGAATTAATTAACTTAATGGATATCAAGATCATCGTTGGATATCAATTTTCATAACAAAACAAAAAGGTAAGAAAATTCTAAAGAGTATATAAGAAGAAAAAAACGTAATGTATAATTCAATGACCTTATCATTGTGCTTCTGTTTCAATTCCTGCATTTCATCGATATGTCTTCGGTGCATCTCTTCAATTCTGCTTTCATAATGATCAACCAATCGACGTCTTTCTTCATCTCTTTCAGGTATGCTACAATTACTACTACTATCCACAACAGAGACCGTTCTACTTGCATTTTTAGGTTCATCATTGGATGGAGGATTATTATTACCAGAAGTTTCGGGTAATACCGTTTCCGGTAGGCACACAGAATCTTTAGAGTGGACGGAACCGTCTTCAAAATGTCCTGAATCCGCTAAAGAGGATGGTACATCCGATTGGGCACGTTTCTCAGGAGTTTCAGGACTTGTTACCTTCTCGAATGAACCTTCCTCTAATAAATCTTTACACGGTGATTCCGGTGAAAATGGATTGCTTTCACGTACGGTTAGGGCATCACTACTATCAGTTCTTTCATCTGGACTATTCAACGATGCTTTGTACAATCTAAGTTCAACAACCTCTTTGGTTAATCGAACTATCTCTCGATTTTTATCTTCTATTTCTATTCTTGCTTCTTTCAAAAGAGCCTAACAAATCATTTCAAACAAAACATTAACGTTAAATTGTCTTTTTCAATTTATTTATTAAGTTTTAGGGTATTTGTTTGTTTCAGATGAAAATTCAGCTTACCTGGAATCTCCTGATTTGTCTGGCGGCCCTTTGGGTCGGTGTAAGATATTGTTCATTGTCACCAGTATGATTGGAACAATGTACAACGTATTTTCGTGATCGACCAGACCAAGTAGTACCGTTCAATGCAAATGATGCATGATCGCAAGCACTCGCTGTGCTGCATGCACTCCCGTAACTTCTCACGCTTTCTGCATCACTGTCATCTGCACCTGGTGTTGTTGTACTCGAGGCCGCGTGTCCTGATCGCGGCCTAGCTGGTGTCAGTGAGAGGCTCTATAACAACAACAACAATAAAATTAATCAAATATAATTCAATTGAACTGTTCACTTGGCAGGTAAACATTTCAACCACATTTTACACATCTTATTTATTTTCAATATTTTTGTTATAATAATTGTTATATTAAATATTTATAGATATATATATATTACTAACTGATGGACAACTGAGAGAATTTCTTCTACAATTTCGTGAATCCATACGTCTTTTATTTATTTATTATATCTTCTTTGAGATATAATTTTGAAACAATTGAGTGAAATTTTCAAGATAATCTCCAAGTTGTTTTATTTATGAAATTTGTTTACAAGAGAGGAATGGATGGTAAGACAAAAATGGATATAACATTTCGATTAGATATTTGGAATTGGTCAAAATACACAGATTATTATTATTATTATTATTTTTGTTAACATAAACACTAGTTTTCAACCGTGGGGGATGTTGAATCTGTTCTGTAGTACGATCAAAGTGATCTGCGCCGACGCGGTGTTAGCAAAAGGTCAGGGAGCTCTAGGTTTCTTCCTTTGTAGGTTTCCTTGTGTTACCTTCATCACTATTACTATTACTACTACTACTACTACTACTGCTACTAACTTTTTCAACCTCCTCCTCCTTCTCCTTCTTTTTCCTCATCTTTCTTTCCATTTCTTCTTACTCTTTCTAAGGTGATAGATAATTCAAAAAGGTGGGAAAGAAACTATAACTACTTGCTACTAAACCCCCATCTTTTTCTTTTATTTCTTTCCTTCTTTTTATTTATCTCGGTCAAACTATTCAACATCGCGTTCATATCTTTTGCCATTGAAAATAAATCTTTCATTTAAGATGTTAGAAACGTATGAAAGAATGAATTTTGTTCAACATTTAGCCGCCATTTTTGTTTCTTACTCCATTCAAAACATTTCAATAAAAAACAAATGGATGATATTTTTGATAAAAAAAAATGAATAGTTTATTGCACAATTTGTATTTGTTATTGTTAATAATTAATGAATTTTTTTACGAGTTTGGTTTTGATCAACAATTTAATAATCAGAGAACGATAAATATAAAAATTTATCTGGTAGACATTTTATCTGGTTGAATATTTCAATAAAAATTAAAAATGGAAGATATTTTTATTATCGTAAAATTAATGTTTGAAAAAATATATTGTTTATTACACGATTCGTATTAATGTTAACTTGTTATTTGACTAGTTTTGAATTTGATCGATGTAATAATTATTCAGTGTGTGTGTGTGTGTATATATATATATATTTTACACATGAAGAAGGATTAAGAAATAAAAGAATTTCATGGACAAAGATAACATTTTGATAAGATCGATAAATATTATATACGCATGTTGTGTTAGCCAAGTTAAATTGGATCTTGCGTATTTACTTCTTTGGAAACGATAATACTAATCTTTTCATATATATTTCTATGTATTTTTATTTATATATATATATATATATATATTATATACATAATTATAAATATAATATATTAATTATAATTATATAATATATTAATATTATATTATTATATAACATTATTATATAACAATATTATATTATTATATAATATTATTATATAACAATAAGTAATATATAAAAATTAATAATTATAAATATATATTAATCCATTTGCACTTACATATTTTTTTACTTTTATTAAATTGACTATTCAATTATTTTATTTTATTTTAATTTTTTTTTTTTATCAATTAAAGTAAATTTCAAATAATTTTAAAAACATTCTGCGCAAGCTTTATTTCACAGTAATAAAATTGAAATATTAATATATACGAATAATTATATATCAATTATATCTGTTATAATAGGATATGTGAATGAGTTGGCATTAAAATAAGAGAAATAATTTTCAAATTCTTTGTAAATTTTTCTTTTTTTTTTTTTTTGTAATAGATAAGATAAAATGTAGTAGTTATATGATGGTATACTTTAAAAACGTTCATGTTTCTCATTGAAAACATGCGATCTTTAACGTGTACTATAAATATCAACCTGTTGGACGACTAAATGCAGTGATAAGTCATGTAATCAAAAATGATATATGCATTATGATAGAGAAATGAACCATCTTTTATACTCAGGATAATAACATTCCCTTTTTTTCTTGTTTTTTTTTCTGTTTTATTTTTTTTTTTTCATCTTAACACGCGAGTTATAATAATCTATAATTTAAGATTCTAATTAGTTCCGCCATCTAGTTTTCTTTTTATTATTCACGTGAGAAAAATTTGTAATAAATTATTTTCAACTTGTGTGTTATAATAGTCGAAATATCAAGGACGAATGAGCATATAAGAAATTTTATATTTGTTTTGTATTAGTTAATAATATGTGTGTGTGTGTGTGTGTGTGTATGATAAATTTTCATAACGTATTTATATTTAAATGTTTACATTAATTTTACTTTTATTGTTCAATGTTTTTCTTTTATCGTTTTATGAACAAGTATTGATGTTTGGTTTTGTCCTTAACCCTTTGAACTCCAAATACAAAATATATATATATGTCTACAGGTGAGAGAAGTATACTTAAAACAAAAAAGAAGGAAGGAAGGAAGGAAGGAATTGTTTAGGCCAATAAGAACTACCGATTCTCTTGATAAGGTTTCTGAATACATAATAAGAATACTTATTGAATTAGACACCCGAAGAAAGATCAAAGTTAAGTATATATTTTAAATAATTATTATTATAATAATAATAAAAAAAAAAAAATGTGTTCATAATAATTGCAAAAGAACATTCGTTTGTACGCAGGTACATTGGTGGTGATGTTAAAACGCAAAAAGGATTATACCAGATTCGTTGAAAATGATCCAAATCTTTAGTATACATCAAACAAATGTAAAAAAAAGAAGAAAAACAATAACAACAACTTACAAGTGATCGTTGTCTTGGCGAGTCGGTTCCATTCTCCGTGATGACAGGAAAGATACGATGATCAGGATGTTGGTGGTACTGCTGCTGCTGCTGCTGCTGCTGCTGCTGATGGTGCTGTGACACCAAGAGATGGTTGTGACGACGATAGTGGTGGTGGTGTTGGCCAAGAAGATTTGAAGAGGAAGAGGAGGATGATGATGGTACAGTAGTGGTGGTAGTAGTAATAGTAGTAGTAGTAGTAGTGGGTCGAGAATGATGTGCTGGAAGCCGTTCACCACGGATGCGCATGCTCGAGGAACGGCGCAGAACGTTATTAGATGATGGTCTGGGTATACGTGAGTCTAAACCCAACGATGAGGAACCAAAAACTATACTGTTATTGTTAGATGAATTTATAGTACTTGATAATATAGGAGAAAAATCATCAGTTTGATCCTCCATTAAGATATCCATATCTGAAAGTGGACTACTACTATTGTTCATTGTTTTATTTGGGCTAATCAGATTATTAGAATTCATTTTGGTTAAACCATCTTCGTTATTGTTCTTGTTGTTATTGCTGCTACTGCTGTTATTACTGCTGCTGTTGCTGTTGTTGTTGTTATTGTGAATAATCGTAGTACGATTAGGATACATGGTTTGTAATGTATGAAGGGATTTTTCACTACCATGACGAGCCATCCTTTTTGTCCAACTCATTCTCTTCTTATTCTGTTAATCAATATCACACTGTCTATTTTGTTTATTCTTTTATCTGAAAAACAAATGAAATTAGATGATTATTAGATAATATTACTTTGTAATATTTGTTTAACACTAGATATAGCAGACTAGTCATTTTTTGACTGGTTTTGACGCCATTTTAATTCACAATTTCTACTTTTATGTAACATTTGAGTTCAGTAAATAATTAAGCGTTTTGTTATTTAAAAATATTTATTAAAATTATTATTGTTCAACATTCTTTTTTTGTTATTTTTTAAGAGTAAATGAAGACTGGAAGCCTCAAAAAGCATTTTTTTTTTTCTTATACACCAGTCAGTCATTTTGACTAGTGTGGTAGAAAATGGTGGTATATCTAGTGTTAAAAAGAATAATTTCATTCTTTTTAAATTCATTTAATATGATTAGAACAATTATACATGTATTATTATGTATATACATATTTAATATAGAAAAGATAATAATTTTCAATTAAATTCAAATATTAATATTAAATATTAATGAAATAATACGTTATTTAATTTGAAAAAGTCTCGTTTCAATCTCACACAGATTTTTCTTGTTGAAAGATTTTTAAACAAGAGCTCTCATTTGTTTTCTCAGGTTTTTTTTTTTTTTTAAATAGAACGTTCAAGAATCAACAAGAAAGCTGTGTTGGCAGGATATTGGATTACCGTTTCTACATTTTTATATATGTGTATATGTGTATGTAATATCAATTTAGAGATACATTTATACTTTCTCTTTTCAATTTATATATTATATCTATATATATATAGATAAATAAATAGATAAATAGATTTATAGATAAATACATATCGAATATCGAAACGTTACACGCATGAAACCATTCACCACAAAAGAATTCCCCTTTCACTAAATAGGATAATATTATATTTTTGTGGTAAATGTAGTAATCAAATGAAGGATACTAAAAAGAAAGAAAAAAAAAGAAAATATTAAATAAAGATTACCTATACAAATAGCAATTTGATTACGTATAAAAGATAAAGTAGAATTTATCAATGCACTTAAAAAAAAAAAAAAAAAAAAAAAAAAAAAACAATATCTTCATTGCCAACGATGATTTTGCGTGTAAGCTGAGGATTATTGTGTTAAAAAAAAAAAAAAATCAAAATTATCATTTATCAACTTTTGATACACACTGTATTAAAATTTAATTTAAAAAGAAAGAAAAGAAAAGAAAAAAACAAAAAGGAAAGTGAAATAATAATTCGTTTCTCTAATTTTAATATTTCTCTTTAGAAAGTTGCTTTTAAAATAGAAGGATTGCACATAAAATGTTTATTATTCTGTTTACGCTGCTTCCTCTTCATATTTCTCTTTCTTTCTTTTTCTATTATTTCTTTTTTTTTTTTTATCTTACTCGTGTTTCGTAACAAAAAAAAAAAAAAATAAAATAAAATCTAAAAAATAAAAAATAAATGACCGTGCTTATCAAACCGTAAACTATGTATTTTCAAGCGGTATCTTGACTTTGAACGCGTTCTCTGACTACGCTAGTTTTTTCATGCCTTTTCTTTATTTAAAAAAAAAAAAAAAAAAAAAAAAAATGAAGCTTCCATTAGTCGATTAAACGTACCGTGTAGAAATTCAAAAAGGGGAACGAATAATAAAGAAAGGAACGAATAAAGAATCGTCGATTTTTAACGCTTATGGTTTAAACTTCCTTATAAATTGCATAGAAGGAGGTATCATAATTTTTTATACTGATATTGTGTGTGCGTATGTGTATGTGTGTGTGTGTGTGCGCGCGTGAGCACACGAGTGTAAAAGCGCGTCTGCCAACAGGGCTTGTTAAAACTTGTTGAACGTTAATTAAGTTACAAGGCTGATATATCGTGATGCAAGTCCAAATAAAAGAAGAAAAAGAAGAAGAAAAAATATGGAGAACGTAAAAGCATTCTCATGGGGTGGGGGTTACTTTTCTTTGCCTTTTTTTTTCTTTTCTTTTCTTTTTTTTTGTTAACCATTAATTAAATATGTTCACAAGGCGAATAATCACGTGAGATTAGAAAAAGATAGATTTTTTTACAACATTATGAAGAATAGAATAAGAATAAAGAATGGGGTGGGGGTGGGGTGGGGGATTCCCTCTCTCTCTCTCCGCCATTGTACTCGGTTCTTTCAACATAATTTTCTCTCAATTAACGGGAATTTCTCATTAATATTATTATTATTTTTTTTTTCTTTTATTTTCATTCATTTTAAAAAAGTAAAACTAGTATAGATTGTAGATATAAATGTACATTAATGCCATTGACCGTTTATGTGGGTCATTGTCCGACGTTTTTTCTTTCAACGAGGCCACGTGGGTCATCCGTGACCCGCGTATTACTATATTGCTTCATATCTAATTTCACAATTGTAACCAATATAAACAAAAACAACATACAAATTAATATAACAATCAATGTTTTAAATATATATATATATAACGAAAATAAATTAAAACATTTGCAACATAAAATAAAATAAAATAAAAAACAACCCTTCGTATATTGATAATCTAATCATCTGTCGGTAATGTAGAAAATTGTACTACTCTAGTAAAAAAAAAAAAAGTAATATAATTATTATACTTTTAACAGATATTACATTTGAAAACAAACAAACAAAACAAAAAAATAACTTCGAATAAATAACGAACATACACACATGATCGATTACGTAATCGATAAATTATTACGTAATATTTTTGTGTTTATATTTGAAAAATAAATGAAAAAAAAAAAAGAAAAAAAAAATTGCAATCGATGCAAATGACTGCTGTTACATCGATGAAAAAATGGGGCCGATAGGAAGGGGGAGGAGGAGGAGGAGGAGGGATGAAAAAGAAATTTATTGAACGTCATTGTGAATAGAAGAAGAAGCGGAAAAAGAGAGAGAGAGGGAGAGAAAGGGGTAAGGGGGGTTGTTGGTAGGAAGAAATCGATCATTCTCCGTTCTATTTCAAGAACTTTGTTACTGCAGTATTATGCACCCACCCGTTAGCGTTTCCTTCAATTGAGAAGATAAAAAAAAAAAGAAGCAAATTATTACATGGTCTTTTTCGATTTCAAAAATATAATTTAAAAAGAAAAAAGAAAAAAGGTTGTTGTTTTGACTTTTGAACAATATGTACGTGTCCCTCGTTAAACAAACGATTCTGATTGGTCGAATAATTTTGATTCTTAATCGGCCATATTGTTTTAGGAAAAATCTCGCGGAACGATTAAAAACAATTAATTGTATTTATTTATTTAATCGATAATTATTAATTTATTAAAAATTTGTACTTTTAATTGAAATATTTAATTTTTTTTTTTTTAATATAAATTGTCAAAATTGTTTTAACTCTTTTTCTTTTTTTTTTTATTTATAAAATATGTTTTGACACGTTGATATAATTACTTACACACGTATACATACTACACAAGTATATTCTTACTACATTCGCATATTCGTGTAAATTTAATCTTATCTATTGGTTTGTAGAAAAACAAAAAAAAAAATAAAATAAAAAGAGCACAGCATAAAAAAAAACTCAAACTTTACTTACTCTATATCGATAAAGTCCAATTATCTTTTATTATTTCTTATTTTTTTTTGTTTTGTTTGTTCTCTTATATACTACAGTAGCATACACACACACACACACACACATTAGGAGGATAATCAAAAAGTTTGACAATCGTTTCGTAGCAACCGAAAAAAGAAAAAAAATAAGAAAAAGAAAAATAATTTCGTGTATTTTTATTTATCAGAAAAAAATGTTTCACTTACAACGATCAGGAACTACTAAAATGGTTTACTTTTTTTTTTATTTTTTTACTTGTTAAATCCACTCGGAATAGGAGAGTTAGAGAAAAACTTTCACTTTCTATGCACTCGTACACTTGGGCTTGTTTTTTTTTTTTTATCTTCCTTTTTTACCGCGCATTGAAAATTAAACTATTCGTGCATATTAGTTTCGACACAAATTATGAAGTCAATGCAAATAAAATACATTCACGTATTTCTATATATATATACATGTATATATTTGATTAGATAGATTGCACTTGTCATTATTACAAAGACAATTTTTCACCCCACCTGCAGCCATGAGGGGAGGAGATGATCAATGCACTTTCTGTATGTCTATCACACGTTTTTAAATGTTCTATAGTCTTCTTTTAATTATTATCATTATTATTATTATTATTATTATTAATAATCAATTTTTGTTTTTTTTTAAATAGCACACACTGATTTATGAAAATTTTTCTAACGGTCTTTTTCTTATCTCTTTTTTGGTTAAATCAATGATACATGATACATCTAGGATTTATTTATAGTTAAATATATAATAACAGATTGTTAAGAAACGGTACTAGAAAGACGTCACGAAACAACACATCGACGACCAACGAGGGACACTATTATAATACTCATGGAAACGCGCGTTGGTTGCAGTCAGCGTTGTTACGTTAACCACGGAAAATTATGAAACGTCCGGGTCATGTGACCACTACTACTCTCGTTCTAATTGATCATTGGTGAAATCTATCGGTCAACGATTGAACTTTCTAGTAATACGTAAGGTTATCATTTTTCCTTACCCATTGGCGCTAGTATCGCTAATTATTCAAAAGTGTCGATATTAAATTAAATATTTCTCGAAAATTTCTTAATAAATTCGTTTTATATGTTTGTTAAGGTTAAAGAAGAAAAAAAAATCTTTAATTATATTATTCAGTATCAAGTGATAAATATATTTGTTAAGATAAAAAAGTTCGAGATCAAGATGGCGTTGACAGGAAGGTTGGCAACTATGATTTCGATACCATGGATATTGTCGATATTTCGAAAAAAAAAAAAAAGAAAGAGATTGAACGTTCAGTAATTTTCTATAAGTATTAATTCGTACAGCTTGAAATTTTTCCGAGTCCTTTTCCGACTATTCACCGTGACCATGGAGATCAAGGATATTCAATAATAATAATAACACATTTTTTGAAGTAGGAATAAAATTTTAGTTTTGTAACTAAAAAAAACACACACACACACAAATATAAAAAGGAAAGAAATAAAAAAATTATATATATATGTTAAAATTATGGACAGCCGGTTATTACCATATCCTTTCGTTCCTGGTATTCGATTCGCTTAAATATCCGAAATCCTAGTTTCAGTTAAGTCGATAAAACAGGAAAATGTTAGGAAAATGAACATTCTCGTCTTCTTAATATACGTACCGACAATGCGAACGTAGGATTTTTCGCGGCTTGTACAGGTTGGATATATATATATATATATATGTATATATATCATCATCACCGATCAGCATCAACGAGAAAGGCGAAATAATTGTGTTGTTAGAAGAAATTTGAACAACTGTATGGAGATTTGTCGGAGATAATTAAATACATCGAATTATGGATTCTGCACCAGCATTAGAAACTGTCTATCAAGCTGTTTATTCTTTGTACAATAATTCCAATCCATCCGATTCGGGTAAAGCATCATCATGGCTTGAAGAATTACAAAAATCAGTAAGTTTATTTATCTATTACAACACATCTCACTAGTTACATGTATATATATATAATAATTATAATAAATAACAATATATTTTAATAATTAATGTAATATTAATATTTAGATTAATATTATTATCTTTGTTACCTCAATATTTCTATACAATTAACATCAATGTACACCATTGCAATTACTGAAGAATATGTTTTTGATGATACTTTTTATAACCTATCATTTTGCTACCATCTTTGTATATTTTAATACATAGAATTAAAGCATTATATTTGTAAGTAATGGTGATGCATTTGTTGCATCATAATTTGGTATATAATTTCTATTGATATCTACAATGTGTTCACATTAAATTTATGTAGTGTGGGTGGTGATCGATTAACAAACATAATCCAATCAAAAACAACGTTTGCTACACAAACTGTTCATGAACCTATCACTCATTGTATATAATTTTACAAATATTACATGTGTCTAGCATTCCTTTTTCTTGTTTTTAGGTTTACGCATGGAAAATAGCTGATGAAATGTTGCAGCAAAAACGAGACATCGAGTCTTGTTATTTTGCTGCACAAACAATGCGTACAAAAATCCAGTCATCGTTTCATGAATTACCTGCCGAAGCTCATACTTCACTACGTGATTCATTGATGGACCATATATCACAGATTAATGAAAACACCAATACTGCCATTGTTACACAGGTTTTTATTTTATAATTACTCTTTTATAAATATTTGTATTTCTTGTTTAAATTAGAACTATTATTCTTTCATGTTATGTATCTCAATTTAATTTAATTTAATTTTATTTTATTATTTACAGTTGTGTTTAGCAATGGCTGCTCTAACAATACAAATGACATCGTGGCATAAACCCGTTGTAGATTTAATTAACAGATACGGTGGAAGAAGTAACAGTCTTTGGCCATTACTTGAGATTTTAACCGTACTTCCAGAAGAAGTTAAATCCAGATCACTTAGGTATACAACAACACAATATTTCTTAGTAAAAATAATATTGTATTCTCTTGTTAATAGTATTTATATGTAACATAGATTAGGGACTACCAGACGAGAACAAGTAATGGTTGAACTTAAAGCAACCGCTGATACAGTTGCTGAATTCTTGGTAATTATTTATATTATAATACATCAACCAATATCAAATGTTAAAGTATTACAATACAAATAAGTATAATTATTATATTTACAATATTTCAGAAAATGTGTTTGAAAGATGGTAGTGAAAATATACTAGTACGAGTTACTATCTTTCGATGTTTCACCAGTTGGATTACTGTTGGTGCTATACCTCTTCGAGTTATACCTACAAGTGACATAGTAGCATACGTATTTCAAGTTAGTATTTATATCATCTTAGATTTTCTGTATATAACATATATATTTATAAGTATATTAATTATTGTAGGTATTGGGTGATCATCAAGCAGGCTCTCTATTACATGAATCCGCTGCGGATTGTTTGTGCGTTATTTTACAAGCATTACAAGATGACGTTACTATTAATCGAGATAACAATTGTGAACTAAGCGCTCAACAATATCAACAACTACAAATGTGTCTTTTTACCAATGTTGTGGATTTGGAACAACCATATCATTTATCTGTAGTTCATGAAGATATGGAAAAGTAAGTATTATAATTATATTTTATTATTACTATATTATTATTGGAATTAATATATTGAATATTTTGATTACACAGATCTATCAATTATTGTCGCATTTTTACGGAATTGGCTGAAACGTTTATCGACACTATTATAGATGGTAGTATGGATGGGAAACAACATTATGCTATACGAATTCTTGATCTTGTTCTCATGTGTCTTGGACATCACGATTACGAAGTTAGTTATTATTTTATATATTGAAAGATACATATATTTGTATCATGTATTATGTATTATTATATCATTTAGGTTGCTCAGATAACTTTCCATCTTTGGTATCGATTATCAGAAGCTATTTATCAAAGGAATAGCGAAGATTTAAATATTGTATTTAGACCACAGTTTCAACGATTGATAGCTGCACTTTGTAGGCATTGTCAAATGGAACCAGATCACGTGAGTTATAAAATCATTTTCAATGTATTATATATATTTGTGATATAAGACAATAATTATTTAATTAATTGAAATCATTACATTTTATTATAGCTCGGTTTAGTAGAAGAAGGTGGAGGAGGTGAAGAATTTGCTGATTTTCGCAAACGTGTGTCAGAACTAGTTAAAGATGTAGTATTTGTAGTTGGCAGTAGTAATTGTTTCCGACAAATGTTTAATTCGTTAACGGGTGGTCCTGGTCCTCAAGGATTACCTGTTCCTACTCCTACATGGGATACGATAGAGGCTGCACTTTTTATAATGCAAGCAGTCGCTAAAAATATTTTACCGTGAGTTATAAAATTTATATTAATATATATATATATATATATATAATTAGAATAATTATTGAAATATATTTCAATATATTTCTATACAGAGAGGAAAGCGATATAGTTCCACAAGTAGTCGAAGCGATTCTTAAATTACCAGAAAATACTCACATTGCTGTACGACATATTAGTATACTTTTGTTAGGAGAATTATGTGAATGGATAGAAGATCATCATTTATGGTTAGGTATGTATCATTTATATTAATACATTCTCGTCCTGAGTGTTTCATGATAATGTAGTATATTATACTTTATATATAATTACGGTTTATATATATATGTCAGCCGACGTTTTATAATAAATTGTTAATACATTTAATATTATATTATTATGTATATTATAATTAAAATAATGTTTGTTACAGAACCAATATTAAATACTTTGTTGGCCTGTTTAAATCAAAAGGGATTAGGAAATGCAGCTGCCAGCGCTCTTTTAAGTATTTGCACTGTATGCCCGCATCGCATGGCACCTCATTTTAATGTATTGTTACAAATAGCACGTTCCTTTGATAATTTAAATTTAAGCGTTGAAGCTTCTATTAAATTATTGAAAGGTAATTCACATATAGTATTCTTCTATATTATCTATTATAATCATTTTATATTTAAAATAATAATATAATACAATATGATTTTTACAGGCGTGTCATTAATTCTTGCAAGATTACCTAAAGACGAAATAGGACCAGCGATGAAACAATTATGCTGGTATCAAGCAATGCCTCTTTATCAGCTTATACAAAGTAAACCACCAGTTGAGAGGGGAACTAAGACTGATCCTGCAATATGGTTAGATAGATTAGCAGCAATATTTAGGCATACCAATCCTAAAATCGAGGATGAAAATGCACCACATCCATGTCAAATGGTTATCACCGAAGTAAGTCATATAATATTATATACATTTTTATTATAAAATAATATTAAAGTTTATATCGATTATTAATCATTCTTTTTATATTTACAGATGTGGCCAATATTGTCAAATGTATGTACACAATATCAACATGATCCAAGACTCATGGAACGAGTTTGTCGTTGTTTAAGGTTCGCTGTTAGATGTGTAGGTAAACATTCAGCACATCTTCTTGAACCACTCGTCGAACAGGTAATCAATTAAAAACATTTTATCATACTTTATATGTAAAACTTGTATTATAAATCATTTTGGATTTTTCATATTTACAGATTGTACAATTATATGCTACGCATCAACATAGTAGCTTCCTATACCTCGGTTCCATTTTAGTCGACGAATATGCTACAGATTTAGATTGCGTGACAGGATTATTGAACATGTTGGAAGCTTTCGTTGGTCCTACTTTCACCATTCTTCAAGAAACAGATGGTTTGAAGAATCACCCTGATACCGTTGATGATCTCTTTAGATTATGCGATAGGTAATTTAAATAATATGTCAATACTGTATGATAATATTCATCTATACTATATAAATAAGTTTTATTTATTATTGAATACTTTATTTTTTCAACAGGTTTTTACAAAGAGCACCTGTTCCTTTTCTACGTTCATCAATAATAGGTAGCATAATTGACTGCGCTTTAATGGCATGCAGTTTAGATCATAGAGATGCTAACGCTTCAGTTATGAAATTCTTTTATGATCTTATACATACTGCTAGTTGTTTTGAGGTATTTATTAAAGTTTGTATAATTTATTTAACACGTTAAACGTTTAGGCAGATTCCTAAGAAATCAGCTTTCGAATTTTTCGATTTTGAGGTTAACACATCATCGTTTTAAATGAGGTTTCTAAGAAATCAGCTTTAAAATTTTCGGTTTTGAGGTTAACTGATCATCGTTACCTAAATGAAAAATTCAATGTTTAACGTGTTCAAATAGTATTTATATTATTATCATAGATATATATATATATATATATATATATATATTTTATTAATAATATTTACAGAAAAGTTCGGATTTCACGATACGACAACAACTAGTGAGAGAAATATTAGCAGAAAAGGGACAAACATTAGTTATAAGACTTCTTCACGCTTCTGTATTTTCCTTACCTGCGTACATGGCATCAGATGTTGCAGACGTACTCCTAGAACTTAATTCTACCAACAGACAGGTAAGCGTATCATATTTTAAACCCCTTCAGTTGCAATTGTTGAGGACAAAATATGAGTTTTTTTTTTACCAATGTTGATTGAATATGCAAAGTTCATATATTGCATCTTTAGTCCACATAATTAAAATTTGTTGGACGCATATATGCGTGCATAATATTCAATGATTTAATATCCTTAATGTTTTATACATTTGAAATTAAAATGATCATTTTTTCTGCAGTCATTTTCCAAATGGTTAGAAGAAGCCATTAAATCAATGCCGCTTCAAAATCCAGATGGATCTCCTACGGCAACTAACGAAGAGCTCGTTCAATTACACAACACCATTATAAGGTACAAAGAAAATAATTTTTATATTTAAATACGTTAAACGTCGAATCATTTTTGTCGAGTATTTTGTTTAGGTTACGCTGATCTTTTAGAAAAAAAAAAAAAAACAACAGTAGGCAGGTTGTAGAAAACAACGATATGGCGTTTAACGTGTCAATCATTTTCATTTATTTATTTTTAATAATTTTTATATATATATGTATGTGTATATAAATATGTGCAATTTTAAGTTATTAATTTTTGAAATTGAATTTTATTTTAGTGCCGACGCATCTAAACCTGTGGCGACTGCCTTAAAAATCTTCGCTCGTTACTACCGTTGATGCAATACGACGATTTATCGTTTATTTTAATCAGGTATCATCGATTATCGCAAATTAATAATTCGTAAAGTTCTTCCAATTATGCAATACCGTTCTTTTTCTTTTTTTCTTCTCTTTCTCTCTTTCTC